CCAACTCCAGGGGTCGCAGGACACGAGTCGCCTCCCAGTCTTCTGGTCTCATCCTCAGGTACGCGATACCTAATAACTGGAGAGAAAGAAGCAACTTGGCTGCTGAAAGGCAATTGTCAGATGCCTAATGCTGAATATATGCCAGCCAAAAGGGTATGATCCACTTGAGGCCGTGACTCTCCCTTCAGTGGGTACATCCAGTATCCTTTTCTGTGCTGTTGACTATTAGCATGCTGTAGCTGAGTGGGTGAGCACCCACTCAACTGTCAGGTCCTGGACAACATATGAGCTGCTTTGCCATTACAAAGAAATATATAAATATTACATTTGCTGCATTTATTACTCTGATTTCTACTGAGACCAACATTTTTCTCTAAATATTATAAGATACAAAACCCACTGTGGTAGTTAAAACTCAAAACTCAACCATACAATGCTATGCTATGCTTTTGAGGCTTCTGCAATGAAGAACAGTAATTTAGTGCACTGCTTGAGCAGCATTATGAAGAGTCCTCTGTGAATGGCTTCGGATGTAGCAGTTACAATATACACTGCAAGCACAGATAATTTAATGTAAGTATTTCATGTATCACTACGAGGTGAGGTGACGTGCCTTCTGCTGCCAAGTTCAACAACTCTCCAATTCATCACACTCCTCCACAAAGTCAGCCCTGCAGCTAGCAGATGCTAAGGACATTTCACCACATCTTCCTAAATTTTAGGGTGACAGTTAATCGTTAATATTACTCCAAGAGCTGCACGTGTTAAGGACAAAGTCACTTCCACACAACTTTGGAACAGTTAAAAAAGGGGAAAACAAACAAATAAAAATAAAACAGCAAACATGCAAGTTTGATTATCTTTAGAAGAACTATACTGGTTAAAAGGGTTTAATTTGTAAATACCGTATATACTCGAGTATAAGCCGTCCCGAATATAAGCCGAGGGTGGGAAATGAGGCAGCTACTGGTAGATAGATACCAATAAAATTACATTAATATTTATTTAAAAGAAAAATAACCTAGCTCTGTAAGTGGAAAAGGGGGTACAGGGCTACATACAGATCATTTAATACATTCATGTTAGTATAATTGTAAATGTATTGTTGCAGGCACTCTATATGTACATGTACTATATACTACATATAGAGTGCACTGAACAATAGATTTACAATTATCCTCTGCTAATATGAATGGGTTAAATGATCCATAGTACAGGGCTACATATCATGTACTACGGATCATTTAACCCATTCATATTAGCAGAGGATAATTGTAAATCTATTGTTCAGTGCACTCTATATGTAGTATATAGTACATGTACATATAGAGTGCCTGCAACAATACATTTACAATGATCCTCTGCTAACATGAATGGGTTAAATGATCCATAGTACAGGGCTACATATCATGTACTACGGATCATTTAACCCATTCATATTAGCAGAGGATAATTGTAAATCTATTGTTCAGTGCACTCTATATGTAGTATATAGTACATGTACATATAGAGTGCCTGCAACAATACATTTACAATGATCCTCTGCTAACATGAATGGGTTAAATGATCCATAGTACAGGGCTACATATCATGTACTACGGATCATTTAACCCATTCATATTAGCAGAGGATAATTGTAAATCTATTGTTCAGTGCACTCTATATGTAGTATATAGTACATGTACATATAGAGTGCCTGCAACAATACATTTACAATTATACTAACATGAATGTATTAAATGATCTGTATGTAGCCCTGTACCCCCTTTTCCACTTACAGAGCTAGGTTATTTTTCTTTTAAATAAATATTAATGTAATTTTATTGGTATCTATCTACCAGTAGCTGCCTCATTTCCCACCCTCGGCTTATATTCGGGACGGCTTATACTCGAGTATATACGGTACATATTTAAAAGAAAGTAAAATGTTAAATATGATTCTTTATTTAACCTGCTAAAAACAAAAACAAGCATTAAACATGTCATACACGTTATAAAACACATAGAAAGGAACATTGATGAGGAACTGCACATGGCACGATTTTGAAACTTTGTACATTCTGGTATCCTGCAATGGAGAGGACCTGATAATATTATGCATGGATGACTCACACGTACCATCTGCACTTTGCCTTAATAAATCCCTGTCCTTTTTATTCTGATTTTAGAGGCTGACTCAGAAGTTAAAGAGAACCTGTCAGCTGCAGCTATTTTTGCCTTTTTGTTTCGGCTGTATGACAGCCAATAGCTTCCAATCAGATACTGTATTGGGGGGGCGCGCGAATAAAGGATCTAGAAATCTGAAATTTACTGGACATTATTAATGTCCACTGGACATAATCAAATGTGGGACCACCAACAAGCACTCCATATGCTAAATTTTGACATGAGGGCAATCTAACTAAACCGGAAGTCAGGCAGTTGGAGAACTCGATAAGTTGGAACTTTAGATAGAAGACCAGCATCATCTACACAACGTGTACATTGCTGGCATATGTCTTTTTAAAAATGCCCTGCAAAAGGTAGAAATGTCCTTTAAAGGGTGTCCAACTGAAATCAAAACATCCTGCCTAGCCTCCTATTTCGATATGAATCTGCTAAACCTGGATAGCAATAAAGCTGTACCAGTCTAACCTTCTAATATTATCAATCTGAAGGTTTATGTCACTAAAAACCTTGACAATATCAGACACCAAGTTGACTTTAACCTTAATGTTCTTCCTCATATGTACGCCAGTGAAAACGACAAGACAGATGCAATTATATGCGGACAGCGACTAATGAGCAAAGCATTTTAAACATGAGGGAAGAGACATTCAAGAAGCCTTGCCCATCACGTCTACTGTTAATTTCGTTAGGAAGCATAAGTTCACCAAGTTCCAATCTCTGCTCACACAAAAATGACAACATTGTTCTGTGCAGGAAGTTCATTCAAGCCACAGGAACAATAGTCCAAGCTTCCTACTTGATTTATAAATATATTCAGCTAAATTTAGCTTACTACTCAAAGTAATGAAGATCACTTTTATAACTAAAGCACTTAAAGTTGAACGCCAGGAAAGGGGATTTTTGTCTAAACACACGATGCATGTGTACTCATACATCTTGCCATACAATTTGTGTATTTCTTCCAGATCGGTGCAGTAATCCAGTGTGAAACTTTACATGGCTATGTGCAGCACAGTGATGCAAAAGCATTTGGTGCACACAAAGTGGATTTATATATGTTTGTGACTATTAAGAAATATATTTAAATAAAACTTTTTGTGCTTGAGTTCAGCTTTAATGTCCTGGTATGAAAATGGCAGAATTAAAAAGGAGAAATGCTAGCTTTAGATTATTAAACCGGACATGACTGTTTATGAAACATAAAAACATTTAAAGTAGAACTGAAGCCAAAACTTTTTCTTATTTCATTTTTTATTAAAGGGAGGGTTATAACCGGTCAGCATTTTTTTCATATATCCTATCTGGGAAATTCCTTGATTTAAAGGGTAAAGGGATCCCTGGTGTTCAGCAGGATTGCCAGAACTAGTGACCCCATTGGAAGATTTCCTATCTAATCCGGTATTCTGTAGGAGGTGGCCAACTGGAGATCTCCAACTTGTGTGGTCACATCCGTTGTAGATTTTGACGAGATGACACTACTGCGCGTGCACCAGCAGTCACAGTTTTTGCAATCGTTGACTTATCCACTTGCCGTAGGTGCGCCTGTGTGGCTTCTAAATAGTTGAGTTCTCCAACTCCAGTCAGTGCTTGTGGCATCAGGTGCCCGCGCAGGCACACTGCCGCACATTGTACAGCTTGATACTTCTCTTGGGTGGCTGCACAGGCACACTGATGGGAGTTGGAGGTCTCAACGAGTTCGAATTTGAGAATTCGATAGAACACCAGTTCTGATTACAATCCAAAATCTGTGATTTCATTTTACTTCACTTCCAGTGATAATAGTCACCAGGACAAATGGAGAGGGTGAATCGTCCCAATCGGGACATAGACAGCAATAAAGAGGCGTTTTAATCTCTGCTCTATGAGGACAAAAAAAAGTTTTGGGTTCAGTTGCACTTTAAGCACCTCTTCTCAACGAGACACCTGGAATTATGAGTAGCTCAACTGTTTCTCAAGCGCAGATATTTCACCAAGTACAAGGGTAAATCAAAATATAGCGAAAATTGTTTTTTTGGGGGTTTCTTTTGTGATGCAGATTATATTATCTAGCAATGAAACCATTACATGAAATAATTTTCTTCATGCAATTGCCATAAAGAAATTTTAGTTGTTTCTTATGGAGACAAGCACCGTACAAAACTGCAGTAAGATGAAGGAACTATCAGCATCTATTTTTAAATAAAACTGTAATGACCTATTATAAATTAGGTTATTATTATTGGGTACTATAGATTAATGCACTTTACACATCACTGCAACCCGCCAATGCTGCAGTGCCGTCCGTCCGTTTTTTTACTACGGGCGGACGGCAAGAGGTTAAACAGTAAGCAGAGTCATGTCAGAGATGTGTATTAGGTGGTTTACTGATCACAAGCTAAAGTATAAGAAATGCTATGGTTAACTGAAGCACTCCAGCCAGATAGTCAAAACGCCAATTACTTCCATGCCATACTCAGTTGCATGCATTTCTTCCCAATGATAGTCAAGGCATCATTTTGTACACTCGGTTGGAGACGGCAACCCGCAGATGCTGCAGTGCCGTCCGTCCGTTTTTTTACTACGGGCGGACGGCAAGAGGTTAAACACCAAGGAATCACATCGGGGGGAATTTATCAAAAGTGGAGCAGACAAAATCTGAAGCAGATTTGCACTGCAACTAATCATCTTCTCTCTCTCATTTTCAAATCTCAATTGAGCAAACTGAAGAGAGATGCTGATTGGTTGCCATGGGAAGCTGCCCCAGAATTGATAAATTCCCCTCATAGTATTATTCTTAAAATAAAACTGCCACCTTAAGACCACACAAATGTTAAAATGTACAGAATACATACGGATTTTAATCTTTTCACTGCATCTTCACAAATGTGCATGCCTCGGGATTCATCTACTTCCACGTGTCCAAGGTACTAGAAGGAGAAGGATAAAGCATAAATGACAAGCATGGTTAGCCTCTGAAAGTTATTAAGTGTGTCAAAATAAAAAACATTTTAATTTATCTTTAAAGTGTATGTAGAACTTAATGAATATATGTACAATAATGAAGGTCTTCCATTTGCTCCCTTTTGGTTTGTTAAATATACTATTAAAAGCATTTATTTTGAAATTCAAGAAGTCCTGTGCTCACTTCCCATGTTATATGAAGGAGCCTCCCCAGTTCTCAACTTGCAGCACAGAACAATTAGTCCCTATAGTGTGGAGAAAAGGAGGGATTTAGTCATTTAAAAACAGAAAAATTAGCAGGCCCGATACCAAATATTGCAATTTCTGTCCACCAAAAAAAAGGCGTGCCTTGTCATTCCACAAGAGGAAATTTGGAGCCATTTGCATTTCTGGCAGATCAACAGGTATTTTTGTGTAATTGCTTGCAGGGTCTTTAAAAGAGATAAAACCTTGGAACATTTTTATGTCTTGCAGAGATGTAATGCAGTTTTAAAAATTTTGCTCCAACATACCCTTTAAACTAAAACAATCTAGAAATATTGATACGGATCCTACCCACACACCTGCCAAAGTTCTAGGAGTTAAATCAGTTGACACACAAAGGTTTGATTATTCCCATTTATTGCACAATTCAAAAAAGTCTCTGGTTAATAGGAAACCACGATGATGTGGACACGTCGCAGAGCTACTCCAAACTCTCTTTACAAAACCAAGGACTGACTACAGAATTCTAATGGCTGATGTTTAAAATGATTACACAAAGCATTGTACCTGGACATTGACACATTTTGCAGTATTTCCTAGAATATATTTGGGATTGTAAGTCACTGAGCGCCATAAACCAGTTCATAACATATAAAAAAAAACTACTTGTTTTAAAAAATTATTTTCAAAACGGAAAAAAGTGTTGAATGCATACATTGTTTTGTAAAACCTCTAAATAAGCAACTAAATGCCTTCAGCGGTCAAATAATGAGCTAGTTCACGCTGCTTAGCCAGAGCAGCCTGCTCAACAAAGTGAATCGCTGAGGCAATGCCATGGTTCTGGACCTGAAAAGCATTCCACATCCAACTTGTGTCTGGAAACCACCACAAGTTATTCCCAGACCAGACCTGCAACATCCAGTCAGGTCTCCACAGAGCTGAAGAAATAGTATCCATCTTCTTAGGAACACTGTGCTGGCCTACAGATGTCTTTTTTTTGCCATTGTTCAATCCTGTGTCACTTAATGCAGGGGTCCCCAACACCCAAGCCACGGACCTGTACTGGTCCATGGCCTGTCAGCAGCCGTCGGTCCTCGGCCAGATTAACATAGGGGCTCTTGTGAGGAACAAGTGGCCACCTAAGAGCCCACACTGGCCACCTAAGAGCAGAAAAACAAGCCCGGGGCTCCCACTGATTCTGCATTATGGTGAGTTGTATAATTATTTAATCATATATTACAATGTAATAATAATAGAAATAAAAGAAGTTCACAATAGATGCACTTCCGCTACACCCCGCAGCTTCTGAATGTAGATACATTTTAAAATAAAAGCTGTAGTTGTTTAAAATCCTTTGATCTGTGGGGCAATCTTATTTGGCACTGCTATGCACTCTGCAGGGCTAGGAGATTGTTGGAGGAGTGCTGAAAGTCAACAAGATAACAGAGCAGCAACTGTCAACTTCAGGTAATCAGACTTTTGACTCCAGTTGAAGAATCAGAATAGGGTAGCAAGACTAAATTATTAAACTAAAGAAACTATATATTTAGATGAATAAACTCAAATCATAAGTGGCTCTTTTTAATGTATAAAAATATAACAAGGACCTGCAATAAGCAAATCAAAACGAGGTAATTGGCCAACCCAAGAGATCCATTTTAATGGCTCTAGTGTTCCACATAATTAACTTGTAAAAAACATGGTTTTTCACAATAGATTTAAAAAGGAAGTGGAAACACCCATAAAGACTTGATACCAAGTAAACCTTCCCATTCTTATTCAAGCATTATGTAATAATGAGCTAGCACCGCAGGAATGGGACAGGGAAACACTTACAAATATTACCCATGCAATATTTGCCATTGTAAAATGTCTGAATTAAAAACCCGCACCAGGAAGTGTAATAAAAGTATGCAGTGTCATGCATTCCTGTTGATTTAACATAGAGCAAGAGTTAATTTCTTTACAAAAGGGAATTATAGAATTAAGGGCAATTACTAAACAGCTTCCTTACAAAAGTACAGATTTTTAAACAGACTGCTGCTGTATGGAAATACATCATGTCTTCTGCAAGAGTACCTGGTTACAACAGACCAAAACATCAAACAGCCTACAATGAAATAAAACTTGTATAACAAGGGTGAATGTGAACACTGAATTGCTAATGGCATTCCACACATATGCATGTTAAAGAAATATCCAGGAGAAGGACAAGGGTTACCTTGGAAAACCAAGTTAATTAGTCCTGAAATAATGAATGTCCTTTGTGAACACTGATAAGTACTTGGTGAAATATGAAGTGCATCTACATAGTGTTTAATATGAAAGTGGTCGTGTATAGAATAGTATTGTAGAATCAGTTTGGACTGGGCTTACTGAACTGCTTGAACACTCATTCCTAAGGTGAATCTGTGGATATTTAACTATTTACACATTCTTAGCTGTGGAAATCTCCACAACCGAGTAGCAGACCAAAATAAAAACCCGAGAAGAGGTTCTATCCCATCCCACTCTATCCAAGACAAAGTTTTGAGTCAGGTTACACTTTTAAATTGTTAGAACTCTTTGGGCCTCCTTATGAAAGATTTAGATTATCTCTCTTATTTGCCATCGTTTAGTCTAAGGCTGGCCATACATAGATACGCAGGACTCGGCCAAAATTCAACCAATGGATGGCCTGTCTGAATACGACTCCGAAGAGGAAAGTTAGAATTCAGAGGTCTCAGGAAGTCTGACCAAATAGACTGAATATTGAATTTCTGAAGTTCAACAACACTAGGTTCTGCTTAAGCCCTCGCTCACACCAGATGCAGTACGTTCCAGCCCGATTCTGGCCAGAACGCACAGCATCGCATTGCGGCCAGCTCACTTTTTTGTGGGGCAGGAGGGGGCGTGACAGGCCATTGAGGTGAATGGCATCGTAGCCACGCCCTCGGGCCGCAATGCGATCGGCCACACGGGATTGCAAGGCACATTATGCCTGCGGTCCGATCAAAATAGTGCTTGCAGCATTTTGATCGGACCGGAGGCATAATGTGCCTTGCGATCCCGTGCGGCCGGAAAGCGTGGTTACAGTGCCACTCACTTCAATGGCCCGTCACGGCTCCTCCTGCCCCACAAAAAAGTGAGCCGGCTGCAATGCGATGCAGTACGCTCTGGCCAGAATCGGGCCGGAACGCACTGCATCTGGTGTGAACGAGGCCTAAAGTAACGAAAAAATGCCAGCTACCACAAAAAATGTGGTCAGTTGTAAGAAGCATTATTTGCAGTGCTATTTCTTACGGGGTTTAAAACTATTGCATGTGAGGCACTTAACTAAAACTAAAGCAGACAGACTTTATGCTTTAAATGCACATTCATGCTAAATTTTAAACTTTGACTGGAGGAGTATCTTTAGCATAGATTCAGTTCAGAGGTAATATTTAACAGCATTTTCGATTCCTCAGGGCAAACTACAATCAGCAGATCTACTTGTGGACACAAGACAGATTATACAGTAAATCAGATACATGCTGGAAAACAACTGTCAAAAAAGGTATGGTCTGGTTAGGAGTATTCTTCTCAACCGAATATAGGAGTGTATAAAAAATACACAACATTCATGCCTTAAATCATTACAAAAATAAATATGTTTTACCAAAAAGTTCAATTACCTTCACCTGAAAGCTACACTTTCCAGTCCTGACAGATTCTTCATCCGTTTGCCACTGGTGGGGTCGGCTGGCTTCTGGAACATAGACATCTTTCTTCCGCCGGAAACTCTGACGCAGTTTGTTCATCTTTGACAACCTAAAGAGAGCACATAGCATTTTAAATTAAACCGTAAATTGATACACTTTTTACCATTTTTTTTTTCTTTTCTGTAAAGCGCTGCTGATCTCCTGTATTCTCTCTGCAGTCACATCCTGTCTATATGCATGTGCTTCAATGGCGGCAGTATGGTGGTGCTCTGGACTGGCTGATCACAAGCAATTCTGCCATTCTTGCTAAGCGAGAGTTGGCATGGTGGCTTACAGTCTCTAACTGAAGCACATGTGACAGATTGACAACAAAAGGAGCACAACTGAGAGACGGGGACAGGGAGTTGCCCTCCGTAACAGGATGTGTTTGAACAAGAGTGTTCATAGCAGAATCCTCAAGCAATATTTTAATTAGAGCTACAGATTCAAAAAGATTAAGTGATAACTTTAGCATGTAAATATGAACTCTAAATATACAAGAAAGCCAGCAGAAAAATTAAACAAAAAAAAAACCAGGCCTCTGCAACCTTCCAATATCTAATGTAAACAATGAACAGGTATTCAAGTGGGGGGCAACAACTTGGAGAACAAGTTGGAAGACTTTAGACTTCTACTGGTAACGGATTATTGATTTAATAAGCCATTTATTGCTCGTTATGTATATTTAAATACTTGAATGTTCTTGTCTGGCCACAAATTCACTAGCCCCCTAGGTGATAGCACATTGGAGTTGACAGGTTCTCTTTAAGGTGTCATTAGGAATCTATTAGACCCCTAGTGTCACCTTTACGCTTCACTGGGGAATGGCAGCTGCCTGCTGAGGCAGCTGAATGTAAAACACAGCAGTCAGTCTCTGGGAACAATAGCAAGCCTGCTATTGGCCAATTTAAACTGGCCAATAGCAGGCTGCCTGCTGTCAATCAGCAGAGGAGGAAACTGAAAGAGAAAGTTCCCCTTCATGTCCTCCTGTGCTGATTGACAGCAAACGGGTGCAATAGCCAGCCTGCTATTGGCTACTGCAATTTAAAAGAGACAATAGCTTGACAATGACTCATTCATTCTATTCAAATCCTTTATGGCGGTGCCATTCTACATTAATTGCTGTATAATTTTACACTTTTCATTTCACTATATTGCACACCACACTTTTTTTTTCCTTTTCTTTACTTCCACCGCTCCAAGCTTGCTCCTGTGATGGACTACAATCTCAATACAAACTAGTAGTCCATCATTGTCTGGCTAATCACCTGTGTTCGTTGTGCTTGTATTTTTCCTATGTGGAAAAAAATCTTTAATAAAAATGTCAATTATTTAAAAAATTCAAAACATTTTTTTAAAAAGCCAATAGCAAGGTGGATATTGCTTCCAGATTCTGTACGGAAGACTTGATGACCGCTTTCTACCGCTGGAAGAAGAGGGGGCACGGGGGCAGCAGCAGGGCAATGCAGAGGCACAGCGGTCTCTACTCCCCACTGGGCGCCAGCTGCAGTGCTCTGATCGAAGGGGACATAGACCGCAGCAGCTCCCAGCAAGGAGGGAACGGCGGAGCCATTTTTATTGACCGCTTTCTACCGCTGGAAGAAGAGGGGGCACGGGGGCAGCAGCAGGGCAATGCAGAGGCACAGCGGTCTCTACTCCCCACTGGGCGCCAGCTGCAGTGCTCTGATCGAAGGGGACATAGACCGCAGCATGCAGCAGCTCCCAGCAAGGAGGGAACGGCGGAGCAGAATGGCGACGGTGGGAATTCAACTAACAAGTACTCACCCAAAAATACTCATCAATGCCGATACTAGTATCGGTACTGGTGCATCCCTAATCACAGTTAGTCAGATCGGTCTCATTGGCAGTGAACACTGGGATATAGGGCTGCAACAACTAATCGATTATAATCGATTATTGAAAACGTTGTCAACTTTTTCAATAATCGATTAATCGGCTTCCGATTGGTTGGCCCTGTTCACGGCTCCACACGCTGCACGCCACACCTCCTCCCCACCTCACGCTCGCCGCTGCCAGGCCCGCCCTTCGAAGGGGACATAGACCGCAGCAGCTCCCAGCAAGGAGGGAACGGCGGAGCCATTTTTAAAAATGTATTTAATTTTTTTTATCCGATTAACCGATTAATCGAACTTAATAATCGTCAAACTAATCGATTTTAAAAATAATCGTTAGCTGCAGCTCTACTGGGATAGATACCGGCAGCCTGTCCATAGTACTATATTAAATGCCATTCAGTGGGGGAAGATGGTTAAATCAGCAAAAACACCGTTCAGATCGGTTTGTGCAGGTTTTTTACAATACACTTCAAGGAAATCTTTTCTTTTGCAGGCATTTTCCATTTAGCTATAATTAGAATGCTGACATTTCTGTGTACAAAATGCATTGTTTAGGAATTGATTAGCAGCTACCAAAAAAAAGGCAGCCTCACTTTATGTAAGTCACACTGGCCTTGGGCGCCCACACCATCCAGACCATAGTGTACATTTTCCACTTTGTGATCATTAACTGGGTCAGTTATTTGCTCCAGTGATTCTTTCCTCCAATTACCATATCTAAACAGTTGCCTCTCTGAACATTGTCTTATTACTACATATAAATTTCATATGCCCCTAGCAGCGTAAAATAACAAAAGGCTATAGAACAAATGTAATCAGTACTGTACCACAATAAGAACTATAAATACATATTCATCAAACTTAAGTTTACCTCTAACCTACAGAAGATTTATACAGTCAGCACATCAAACTAGATCCAGTTTGGAGTACTCGCATGCAAACTGGATCCAAAACTACCTCGTTATACCAATTTCAATTCATTCAGTCATTGCCATCCCTCTATAATGTATTGTTTAATGTCACACTGAAAGAATCAGGAAAAGTAGCCTGTAAGCCTTAAAAACAAAGTGAGGTGACAGTGTATAGTTGGCTGATCTTGCTACCCTCTAGGCGACATTAAAAACCCAACGGTTTTGGGTAGACTGATCCAAATGCGGTTGTGACTCATGAATTAAGAACATGCAGTAGATTTACTTGTCTTTAAAACTGAATTCTGGGAAATATGTCTGGCCTTCTGGGTGCTGCAGGTAAGAGTGATGCGGCTACAATAGTGAAAGGCTCCAGTGGCATCCCCGTTCCCTCCTCAATCCTTGCCCATTTACAAAAATCCTTGTATTTTTCCTCACATAATAAAAGGCGTTCTGTGGTGGGAGGATGAAAGGAGGGGGCGGGGTAGCAACATCATCTTTCCTCCTCCATTCACAGAATGGCTTGCATTCTGTGAGAAAACTACAAGGCAAGTATGGAAGGGGCAAGAAGCGAGGATGGAATGCAACATACGTTATTCACTACTCTAGTCGCATCCGTCACCCACAGCACCCGGAAGCCTAGCGGTATGTTTCAGAACCAGCAAGTGGCAAGGTATGATTTTTATACTACTATGTAGCAGTCTGCACAACATTGCATATTCCTGGTTAGAGTGGTTACATACAAAGTGCTGTCTGTTACACCCTGGATCCCTATACCCTCTCTCCCCAGTGTAAGAAAGTTTTATAAAAGTTATTCAGCATTGCATTATTTGAGTGGACATCAGCTTTGTGGGCACTAGAAGACGGCAGGTAAATTCTAATGGGGCAGCTGAAGACCAAATCCCCTAGACAGACTAGCGATGACCCTGTTATTCCAGCGGCTCCTTCGGGGCTGAGTACTAATAAAAGAGATAGATATATATCTATCTATCTATCCATAGCTATAGCACTATATTCTTTGCGATATCACCACAGTGTGCAGCCTGACAGGACCCCTCCGCTGGACCGCAAATAGCAATGCACAAAGAAGGACCCTCCTCTGCAGTGAAGAAGATGGGAAAGACTTAGGACCCAGTGTGTTATGCAAACTGGATTTAGGCAAGTAAAATGGAGCTTTTAAAAGTTACTCACCTTTAAAATCGTAAACATTTTAAAAATATATATTTTCACTTTAAATAACATACACACAGGCATCCAAGTTCCCTTCAGAAACCCGACATATAAAATTAGTTGTCAGAACACATGCTTCAAAGCAGTTTCCCAATGAATGGAAGCACAGAAATTGATGTCATTTATGGTATCCCTATTGCATCTTTCCCCACATGCACAGCACCTTTCAGTGGCTTAATCATTGATGGTATGCAAGGAAAGTCAGATTTTCTACATTACTCAGATCCCGGAGTTAAAAAAAAACAAAAAACAAAAACATTTTTTTACCTAAAAGGCAATTTTAACCAAAATGGGATAAATGTAGGTGATATTTTTAATGACAAATAGTCTGGAACATAAAATCCCACATATCTGCCCCCAGGGCTAGTTGGACCTGATTTTTTCTACTCCAGTAAAGCCTCCCAGAGGGCATCCATAAAAATGGAGCAGGGTCACAACATTAAAACATTCCCAGAAAGCACCCTCACTGATGCCATTTGTGACTGAACACTATGTTTTACGCAATGGAAACAAACAGCATTGGTCTGCACTTAGTACAAATGAATGTCAGCAAGCTGTTTTTTGACAACGCTAACCCCTCCATGCTGACTGCCAGATGAAGGGGCCATGTGCTTTGATTTTTCACTACATTAAAGATGTTAACCTCGGTTTTTGCTATTGTGACCCACAAAAGTACACAAAAGTCTGATCTAGTTGACAAGTACCAGTCTTTCCAAAAAAATTTTGCTGCAAACTTTATTCAGCAGATTCTACAACATTAGCCAGCTGCTACATCTCATGAGATGACAACATGTGCCGTAACAGCTTACAGAAGCCGCATTCCTTGCTTATCACTAAGTGCCTCCTCTTACAGGCTGCTAACCAGAAGAAGGAATGATGGGCTTATTTCAAATGTATTTTAGAATGTTTTAAAATGTACTTTCAAGGAATGACAAAAAAACCCTTATACAGGAATTTCTAGGAGTTCCAAGAATGCATGCAATATTGTTTCTACATCTGCAATATAAGTAACAGAAGTAGAAACAAAATCAGGATTTTTACCTTACCTGTAAAATCTGTTTCTTGGAGTATATCAC